GACATTGAGTTCTGACATCAACCCGATATTTACTTTCAAACAATATGCAACGTCCCATACCGATGGGGTACAACGTCAATCTGAAGTCATGTTGACATCTTGTGCCTGCTGGGATGACACTAATATAAGAAAAGCTGTTCATACTTTATTTTAATTCACAATTCAAGCTATTAACTAAGCATTAATTAAAACGTTTAGCTCAATAAACTACTAATTAGCTGCTTAATAATAGTATAGTTGAGTTGAGGTATTGGGTAGGATTATGGATGTAAAATAAGATCATACTTTAAAACTGCTAATAAACAGTTAATATCCTAATAATAGGCAGGTAATAGGCCAGTAGTAAATGGTGTGAATTGTTACTTAAACTAAAGCGTTAACCAAATTTTGTATCCCTACAATGCATGTGAACTACCAAAAATCAAATATAACATTAGCATGAAAATCAGGACTATTCCATTTTGACATGTTTTTGATGCTAATGTTAGATGTCAATTTAATGTTGTTTTGACATCAAGGTAGTCAATTGGTATTAAATATAATAGCATTTTAACATGTTTTTACTTGGTTTTTTTTATGTTGTTTTCACATCAAAGTGCCCTCTGGGTAGCTAAAGCCAGCTAACGTTTTAATCTCTTTTATTAAAAGTAAATGATCCTTTTTTAAAAAGTGGTATAATTTAAATAATAAATGAGTAAAAATATGATAAATTTAATTGATTTCATTATTTATATTTGTATTTTTCCCCTAAAATTAAATGCTTTTTATTCAATATTTGACGTAATCTCAACCAAAACACGAAGAGAGGGTGGCACAGTGTAGCTCCTCCCCTTTTAGCATTTCCTTTTTATCACAGCTCTGCCAGTGACAGTGGTTGAGCTCAAGTGCATCAAATGAAAAGCATACAAGAAGTGTCTTGAAGGGGGCGAATCATGTTAGATACTAGAGAGCGTTTGATTGGTCAAGTGGAAGTGACAAACTACAAGGTCTACAAGTTTATATCAGTTTTATATCTTCAAAACACACATTTTTTCACTGTTTTGAGTACTTATAGACATCTTAAAAATTAACGATGCTGATACTAACATCTAAACAACTTTATTTAAATAAAGTAATTTGCTAATTGATCATTTTTTGTAGGCCACAATAATTGGTATTAAAAAATCATATTCCTAAAAGCAGAGCTTACACAAACATGATCAGTTATATTGTAGCATGCATGAATGTTCTGCTTAAAATGCATTTTAGTAAAAGTCATACAGGTTTGGAACCAAACTAAAAACTCTTCCTTTAACTTTCTTCTTCTATGAAAAGTGTTCCCTGCTTTCTATCTCTGAGAACTGGGAAGTGACCAGTGGCCATTAAATGAAAGAAATGAGTTCAACAGTAAAGGCCAGCGGAGCTACAGCATGTCCTGAACTACAGTGGCAGCGATAGGTCTATTTTGAAAGAGAGCCCTGTAAAAACACTCTTCCACACGCACACATATACAGACTCTAGTCAAATGAGCTTAATAGGTTTACCATTCCAACATGGAAAAGACATTTTTCATCACAGTCATTCCTCAGCCGCACTGTTTAGCCATCAAACCTGCTGTGTTACGGACATGCAGAAGAGAATTTTAATTTTAGAAACTCTGAGAAAGCATTTGAGGAGCACAAACTACCATCTCAGCACAAAGCAGCAGGAGGGAAGCTGACTAAATCTCTGACTACACTTAGAAGTTTGCTGTCAAAAATGCAAACAAATTCATTCATATAGGTTTGTTTGTGTCGCTTCAGTGCTCAAAGGCACATTTACTCAGCTGTTTTTAAGTTTTTTTTCCAATTCAGTTCAGGTTTGTTTGTATAACATTTTTCACAATAATTATTGTTTCAAAGCAGCTTTACAAAAGGTGCACATTATTGCATTACAATCAAATTAAGTTAAAGTTACAATCAAATATAAGTTATTATATATAAACAGGGCTTGACATTAACTTTTTTGATCACCGGCCAATGTGGCTAATAGATTTCCAACATTACTAGCCACTCGCCATTTTTACTAGCCACAATTTCGTTGTTGGGAAAATATATTTTATATTCATAAATTTGACTTTGACATGCTAAAATTTGTGCTCACGCTCGCCTCCCTCGCCATAGTAGTCTACCGCTACATACCGCTACATATGAGATAAATGACGTCACTACCGGTTATGATTATTACTGAACCGATACAGAATTGTCGGTCACACTTTACAATAAGGTTCATTAGTTAATGTTAATTAATGCATTTACTAACACGAACAAACAATGAACAATACATTTACTACTGTATTTGTTCATGTTAGTTAACGTTAGTTAATGAAAATACAGTAGTTCATTGTTAGTTCATGTTAACTCATGGTGCATTAACTAATGTTAACAAGCATGGACTTGGATGTTAATAATGCATTAGTAAACGTTCAATTATGATTAATAAATGCTGTACATGTGTTGTTCATGATTAGTTCATGTTAGTAAATGCATTAACTAATGAACCTAATTGTAAAGTGTTACCGAATTGTCTGTGTTGCGGAGCACCGAAGAAACAATTAATTTTGACGCCCCTATAGTATGGAAGTACACTCAAAATATTATTTTTGCTGTGTAAATTGTTTTATGTTCGATCCACTTCAATTTGTAGAAAGGAGTTAAGTTAACTTAATCAATTTGTGCTGGGACAACATAACAGAATTGTGAAGCCAGCATTTTTCCCTGTGTACACTCAAAATATAATTTTTGCCGCTTGTTCAAACTACTTATTTGAAATAAGCTGAAACAACACAATTCTTGAGTTTTTTTGGAGGGGCAGCTTAACTGTTTCATGTTCAATGCACTTAGATTTGTCAAAACAATTACGCTAACTTAATCAGTTTGTGTTGGGACATGAAGGAATAGTTTGGAACCCTGCACTTTTTACAGTGTATGCATTTTTAGATGCAACAACGCACTGTCATTCCACCTGATTCAACACGTCACAGTGTGAAAACCTCACGTTTGCTGTCAAAACTAACTGGGAGGGGGTAAACAAGTGAGAACAAACTAAAGTGGCGTTTGCCTGGTAAAAATCACTCACAGGTGCTGAAGAGAAAGTGTCAAAGGAGAAACTACAGGACAATAAGCTCTCTAGACACAAATTCAAGTGAAAGTTCACCCCAAAATCAACATTTGCTGTTTATTTACTAAGAAATCTGTCTAAAAAATGTCTCAAAAATACAACAAAATACATCAATTATTTGCTTCACTTATTCAGAAAATCACTGATACTACAATGAGTGTTAATTATGTTTTTCCTGTATATGTCGTTGTTGTTTTATAATACCTTAAATGTGCCATTAGTCAATGAAGTTTATTATGTGAATTATTATATACCACTTTTCTGCCATTGATTTTATTATATGAATTACCACAGACCATGTCTTAGGTTAAAAACTTCCTGAAGAGTAAATTAAAGGGAGTAAATTAAATTCACAGCAAATGTTTATTTCTGAGTAAACTACCCCTTTAACGTCACCCTGAAATGCACAAGACTCTAACGCAGGGGTCACCAAACTTAGTTTAAAGAGTCCTGCAGAGTTTAGCTTCTACTTGCCTCAACACACATGCTTTGAAGTTTCAAGTATACCTAAGACCAAATTCTGCAGGACACCGGCCCTCCAGGACCAAATGTGGTGACCCCTGCTCTCATAAATAGATGCATCAACATAAACAAACACATATGCATAAACACACACAGCCTGACCTCTTCAGTTGGATCAAGATGACCACAGAATCCATATACTGCACTGTAAAAATGTTGTTTCAACTTAAAAGAAATAAGTGTTCGTGCAACCTTAAAATAAATAAATTATATATATATATATATATATATATATATATATATATATATATATATATATATATATATATATATATAATTTCAAAACGCATACAAATGCAATTTTAAAGTGGATTTATTAAATTAAAAATGTATTTGTTTTCATTTGTATATATTTGTATATATATATATATATTTCATTTGTACATTTATATATATATATATATATATATATATATATATATATATATATATATATATATATATATCAGTATATATATCAGCTGACTCTTTTTTTTTTAAGTCTAATAAGTTCAGTTAAGTAAAACTTTGATATACAAGTTAACACATTCAATCCAGGTAAGTTAATTCAACTATAAATATAACAACCCAGGCTCATTGTGGAAACGTAGTCCCGCGGACATTTCTGGAGACCGCGGAATACGTCCCGGCGGGTACGTACGGCTGCAGTTTTTGTTTTCGCGAATCCACGAAAGGCCACTATTGTGCGCTTTTTCGCACCTCAGACACCTCTCGCGAGTGCGGTTCGTGCCCGCGCTGTTCTTGCATGAACCCACCAGAGGCCGCTGTCTGACTGACCGGATGATTGACTGCATGACCGGCCAATCGGCCGACCCGCCCTCCTCCTCCTACAAAAGCCATCCAAAAAAATAAAAGCTGCTTCTTTTTTTTTTACCGCGTTTTCGGATTTTACCGCGTTCTCACCCTGTCACGAAACTCGTTCACTTAATTTTTGGGATTCTGTTTTTGTCTTACCTGATTGCTGGAACCGCTCTTCCCCGGACTCAAAACCGGTCACCGTGGTCGACTCCTCTCTACATCTCGAGCCTGCCGACATACACGGTGAGCTGAGTGGACAAACGGGTTGCAGCGGGGAAGCCCTCCACAAAGAGGTACGGCAAGCGTAAAATGGAACAGCATCACACCGCCCCGCAGCGTTCGCTTGAAAAAAATAAACGCAGCCGTACGTACCCCCCGGGACGTATTCCGCTATCTCCAGAAACGTCCGCGGGACTACGTTTTCAGAATGAGCTTGGGTTGAAATATAAAGTGGTGATAACTAATTGGCGCAATCATTTTTTACATAGTTTAAGTCAGACTCGTGTCAAATTTCAACCTCAAATATGCAGATATTGACTCACCATATTGACAACGCGTTCCCTCAAACCCTTCTGGACACTGACATAGGTGATCGCTGGTCTCAGAGCACTTCCCACCATTAAAACAGGTACCAGAGGAACACACTCCTGTAGATAAGACATCACTCAGGTCTACTCTGCATCCAAATTATGAACAAAGAAAATGAAAATGATGCTCACTGTGCAAACAGCCTCTCTCTTCTCCTCTCTGCATCCATCCTGGGCAGCACCTGAAGACGGTCTGCATCTCCATGTTGTATGCCTGTTTATACACTGTATAATACCCTGTCCTGAGACAGACAGATGGAGAAGTAGATTCAGAAATAGAAAAAACTATTTCATTATACAGAAAGACATTGCTTGAATATGACAAATGAGATATAAACAATGCTGAAATTGATTAAACACAATATTTAGCAGAAATGGATGAAAATATTTGAAGACACCAGAAGACAATTATTGTTTCTGATCTTCGGAAATAACATAGGCTTGTTACTGGAATAGGAATTACATGGCTGAATGTTAAAGGTGCCCTATAATGAAAATCTGGGTATACGAGATCAGTATGTGGAAATGGCCATACAGTGAGCCTCAGACACCACTGTTTCCTCGTTCTCGTGTAAATTCCATGAGTGTAAAATCTTGGTGGACAACAGGCCAATCAGAAGACAAAACAAACTGTGACGAGACTCGCATTTGCATATATGCCTACTTTAGGTCGTTCATCCAGACTTGATCAAGAAAACTCTACTCATATGTCGCTCAGAGATTATAAAAAACCTCCGAAATCATTCAAATGAGTGCCTCAGACTGCATTTGATGAGCCAAATGTTTTATAGTAATACAGTCATCCTTTTCCTCCCTTAGTTATTTTAATAGTATATTTCTCTTACTATGTATGTGGGACATTTATTTTGAAAATGTGAGCCTCATATGGTTTGCTGTGTGTTACTGGGCAATCACAGTATAAGACATGTTTCAAACTCGCCTCAGGGCGAAAAATGCAGGATTTACAGATTACAAATTTATCCAAATAAGGCAGAGGTGTCAAAACTCAGTTCTGGAGTTCTGGTGTCCTGCTTAGTTTAGCTCCAACTTGCTTCAACACACCTGCCAGGAACATATGTAGACTACTAAATCATGTCAAATCACTCAGCTAAACTGTCATCTGTTCGTGCAGTTATTGATGTTAATTTCTTGCTGGGTTTTTTTTTCAGCTTAAAGATACAATGTGTTACATCTCTATCACTCTCTTTTGTCAAATTTAATTATAATTTAGCCTTTATCCACAACAGATCTGGTGAGCAAAATAGGTTAACATTACTCTGATTGGGTTTATATTTGTGTGTGTGTGTGTGTGTGTGTGTGTGTGTGTGTGTGTGTGTGTGTGTGTGTGTGTGTGTGTGTGTGTGTGTGTGTGTGTGTGTGTGTTTGTGTTTGTGTTTGTGTTTGTGCATGTCTGTGCATGTCTGTGCATGTCTGTAAGAGCAGCAGGTCAGGGCGAAGCTCATTAATATTAACGCCAGAACCATATATGGTCAATCATGGACTTTCTGCTTCTATTGGTATTTTATGGAGTAATGATAAAACTTATATAAAAAAGCTTATAAAACCATTTCTGGAGATTTTTTTTAAACTTACCGAACCCATAAACTTACTCTACTATGTATATATCAGAAAACTATTTAACGTATTAAACCAATGCAGTATATGGCACCTTTAAACCTCTTAACTTCTTGATTAAAAAAAAAAAACTTTTCAAAATGTGTAAAAAAGAAACTGTCAAATGTTAAATAATTCAACTGTCAATCAAGCAATTCTAGTCCCTCCAGCCGGACACAGAGCTTGCTATTTCAGAACACTCCCTCACTCTTCCAAAACAAATCCATTAAGCCCTTACTCTAGGCTTGACTGTGGCCAAGCGGCTAATACTAAAAAACTGGAAATCTCCTTTACCTCCTTCTTTTCGAACCTGGTTAACGGAAATGCCTTCGTTATCCATTTGGAAAGCTCAGATTTATCAGGATCATTTCTAATGGAAAATTCTTTGCTACCTGAGAACCCTTTCTTGTATACTTAAACCTGAAACGGGCTCATTCTAAATACAACACCCCGCATGAAAACTGACTGGCACACTACCTTACATGACTTTTTGATGTCTACATATTGTGTAACATTTGTATCTCCAACAGCTGAGCCCACATGTACGGCAATTAATATTATAATTACCTGCAAAGTCTGTATATTCTGAGACAATATTGTTTGTCTGTTTTTTTCTGTTGTACTTAAAAAATCTTAAAATAAAAGTATTTTTAAAAAAAGCAATTCTAGTCAAGAGGTTTGCCGTCTTTCTAATGCTAATCCCGATGTGGTACATACTACATTTTACTTTCTACTCCATATGGTGGTGTACTGTATATTGTATTTATTTAGTTTATTTAAGCTAATTCTTGTTATTAATTTTACTCATTCAGCTGAAAAATGTCTCTTTCGGAATTGTCTAAATTGTCCCTTTTACATACAGGATAAAATCAACTTTTTCACCGCCCAAAACTTAAAAAGTGCTAACCTTTTATTCACACTTGAGTTTCTTGAATACAAAGATATTTTGAACAATGTTGTAAACTACTCATTGACAGTCATAGCTGGTATCGAACATTCTTCAAAATATCTCCAGAAGAAACAAACTCCAGTAGGTTTAGGACATGTGATTATAAATAATGGCATGGTTTCTGTTCAACTATCGACTATCTCTTTGAGTAGCTTTTTGATCAGTATCAGATTTAGTTTATGAATATAGAACAAAGATTTAGTATGATGTAACAATTTGAAAATCTGAAATCTCAGGGTGCCTTTAAAAGTTATTCGGAGATTAGCAATGAACATTACTGTGAAAAATTTCTTGCTCTGTTAAACATCATTTGGGAAATATTTGAAAGAAAGAGAAGCATTCTGGATTCATAAATTAAAATCACACACCAAGAGGAATGAATGAAGTTCAGTTGAACCTTTCTGTGGTTCTTTAACAGTTTGTTGTTTAGCTATGATATTAGGAATCATGGATTTTGAAGTTGTAGTGACACAAATAACGAGATGAAAATAGATTTTTTTATGTTTTTGAACTGTTGGAATTTCACTGTATTGACGTAGACATGAAAAAGGGAATGATGATAATCGATATGCTATTTTCCTACAAAATAATGTTTTTGAGAGTAAAGGTATTTCTCGTGTGGTTGATTATGATACGCTGAAAAGAAAAAGAAACTCTTGGTAATCATTGAATAGCCGTCTAGATGATTGACACAATATAACAAATGTATTTTTGAATGTTTTGGACTGTCGGAATTTCATTGTATTGATGTAAATATGCTATTTTCCTGTGAAATAATGTTTTTTAAGGTGAGGTTAAATATTTCTTGTGTGGTTAGTTATGCGTGTTGAGGTGAAGTTAAGATTGTCTTTAATCATCGAGTGATGTCACATGTATTTTTTAATGTTATGGACTGTCGGATTTTCATTGTATTGATGTACACTTGGCAAATTATGATAATTGATTTGCTATTTCCCTGTGAAATAATGTTTTAAAAATGAAGGTAAATAGTCCTTATGTGGATAATCATGGAATACTAAAATGAAAATGAGATCATCGAGTGGCCTTCTAACTAATGACACAGTTTAATTGACTATATGGGATAAAAGGGTGGAGTAAGAGGATTATCACACACTGAGGAAGGCATTGTGCCGAAACGTTTGTGTTTTTGAATCGCCCGAAGATTGTAAAAATAAAAACATTACGAAGCAATTACTTGATGAGTGCGAATCATGATTTTTTTGAATAAGAACATTGACAAGATTGACGCACCGAAGAAGTTTCTTTAAAAACCATGAGTGTGCAGGGCAAACTTCATTACTCTACACAAATATTTGAAAGAGAGAAAAGACATTCACAAGAGGGCTAATAATCTAGAATTTTGGCTAATAATCGTATACTGCACTGTTAGAATATTACTAAACAGCTTATATATTAATTTATAATTTAGAATTAATATTCCAATGATTTTTGGCAATTTTTTGCTATTCCACAAAATTTACCCATGACTAAATACTGTTTTTGTCACCCGTGTTCCCATATTAAGTCAGTATTAAGCATATGGACATCAGTTGGTAACAGCCACTATGTCAATAATTGTTGAGTGTGTCTCACCTCCTCTCGTAGCCCACGCACCAGCGCTGAGACGAGCAGCCCTGCCTCCACACCTTCACCAACCTTGTAAACGCCTGAACACACGGCTGCTTCACTCCCAGCATAGACATCTCCTGCTCCTCACACACGTTCGGCCTGAGGAATGTCCACAATTAGTTCCTATATTCAATATATCAATGCATCATTACAATAAGAGTGCAAAACTGATGTCATTGGTACTTCAAAATATTCAATGATGTAATTTTAGAGTGAATATTCTCATTGTTTTTGACAGTGCCAAATGGTTGGAGATTACATTGGTTAATTAGCTTAATAGTTAAAAAATTAACACTTTCACATGCTAATCTGGCCTGCTAAAATAGTGATTGAAAGTGATGACTATTTTAGAGCTATTGCACGTTAATACTGTAAAAATCATCCACTTATAGTTCACATTAGTTTATTTAACTAAACTCACAAAAATCTTAGGTGATGTACATCTCTTAGTTAACACCTAATAATGTGTTAAAAGCCTGTTTGGATTTCTTTCTTCTGTTATACACAAAATAAGATATACTGAAGAATGTTGGAAAATCAACTATTAACTTCTATAGTTTTTACTATGGGTGTCAATGGCTTCTTTTTTTCTAATATTCTGCAGTATATCTTATTTTGTGTACAACAGAAGAAAGACATTCATTCAAATATTGAAGCACTTGGGTGGCAGTAATCGATGCAGAATTGTTCATTTTGGCTGAGCTGTGCCTTTAACACACATTACAGACATCTGTCCCAAAGAGGTGGTGGAACATTTTGGTCTCTCTCACTTTGGTTATGTAATGTTGCATGGATTATTGGAAAGTGGCATGCTGTGAAACCAAACCACATTAAAGTGGCCCAGTTATATTTTTTCAGATTTGTGAACTTTATAATTTTGCTGAATGCGCAAACTCCATTCCAAAAAGACGCATTCATATAAGCTTTTTCACAGCTCTAATATGGACACAATTGTTTATGTTGTCAGATAAAGTATAACTTATTATTTATATCAATTACTTGTTTTTGACATCACAATCTTTTTATCGGAGAGCTGACATGAAAGAAGAGACATGAAACACAGGGTTTGCAATGAAAAAAACTTTCTATAAAACCTAAAATGAGAGATATAGATGATAATTAAGAACAAATAGTTGCTTTATTAGCTGCTGGAGTAACCATGTCAGGAGCTGTAAAGACTCCAACTTCTTTTAGAAAAGAGGCGGGGAATAGCAGCTCATTTGCATTTAAAGAGATGTACAGAACGGATGCATTTTTCTTTCTATCAAAAAGAAAACGGTAGCATTTACAGCATAAAGAATATTTCCGTATATTGTAGAAATTAAACTCCACAGACTAATTCTGGGGAGTTATTTTAAATAGCATATTTTAATACAGCATAATAAAAAAAACTATCAATAGTAAATCAATTGCATGCAAGTAATATCATGAAAGCACACTGTAAAACCCAAAAAGTTAAGGCAACTCAAACCATTTGAGGAAACCGATTGCAACAAACCATTTAAGTTCAAAAACTAATCCTAATGAGTACTGTGAACTTAATCCATCTGAGTAAACGAAGCAATATGAGCAATAAAACACAACAAATGAAGAGAACTCAAGACCAACTGAGCACTGAAAAACCCAATACGTTAAGGCAACTCAAATTGTTTGAGGAAACCAATTGCTACAAACCATTTGAGTTGAACTAATCTATATGAGTACTGTGAACTTACTCCATTTAAGTTGACATAAAGAGGTATTTAACTAACTTATTACCTTCAACACTGTTCAAAATGCTCATTTCAAATGAGTAGAATTAACTTGCAGTCAATTTTGAGTTAGCCACACTTATTTCATTTGATAAAGTTGACTGTTGGGTTTTACAGTGCATGTATGCTTCAACATGCAAATAAAAGACTAAATCCACATCAGAGCATGGCAGGGGGGATGTCATAACTATCCGTCTAGTTCACATGTTAAAAACAATAATTGGAAAGTTTCATGCATGTGTGCACACTAGCTGACATATAAGCAGAATGTGAATACTGATATGCATGTTGTCTATACTGTGATAAATTAACTGTACAAGTGTAATGCATGTTTGGGAATTATTGAGCACTTTTAATAATCAAACAAGAATGTGGCTTGTTAAAGTAAAAGTGCACATGCAAAACTAATCGAGTCTTGACAACGTGTTTTGTAATTACAAGGCTGTGTACAAATTTAAAATGAGTTCAACTTTGATTATGCTGTCTTCCTCTTAGATCCTGAGGCTGCGGAAAGAGCTCATTTTTAGATGCTGACCAAATGTTCCCACAGCTTGTAAAGTTTGATCCTCCAGGAACACGCTGAACCATGAGTTGGAAACAATCTGTTAGACCAAAACACACATTTATCTGAGTTACTATTATTATATTAAACTGAGGTGAGGGGGGTTATCACAAACTTCTGTCGTTTTATGCAGCTAATAATAATCATAAATAATATAAGATTGTTAGAAATATAGAACCACTTTGCTAAATAAGTAAGTTTAAGTTGCACTAAATGCAACACCCTTGCAACCTTACAGAATACATAAGCATCTGCCTAGCAACCACCAAAATTACACTAGCAACTGTTAAGTAATGTACTAGCAACCACCCATTTTATCTTAGAAACCACCTGCAATACCGTGGTAGCACCCTAGCAACCACCTAAATTACTGTAGAAACTGTCAAGCAATGTCCTAGCAAACACCCGGCTTACCTTAACAACCACACACAATAACTTAGCAACACCCTGGCAACAAACCATAGATATATACACTAGATATCGCATAGGGACCCTGAGCATGCGTCAATAGCGCTGCCACATTGGCACAGTGCTCCCAGGACAAATGTCATTTGACCGCACTAGTCAAGACAGTGTTATTACGTGAAGATGCTGGACTTTAGCACTGTGTACGGGTGTAGTAACAGGCAAACAAAGAAAACAAAGCTCAAAGGCAGAACATTTCATAGGTAATATTAAGTTTTTTTCTGTTTTTGTATGTTCTGAACTTTGTGCTAATCAGGTAACGTTATTGATGATAACAGTCACTTACTGCATTTACCATACGGCAAAGCAGCTCCAATTCACACTAAACACTCGGCTTATGCTAGTTTTGTTGAATAAAATCAGCAAACAACGCAAAATAAATACAACAACGAGATGCTGCGCTGCCTGAAACTTGTATTATTGTCGGCTAGTGAAAGAGTCGTTCGGGGGACTCATTCACAAACGAATCGCTCCCTCCGTCAGTATGAGAAGTGAAAGCAGGAGAGGAGCTATGTTTCAGGACATGATTAGATCAAATTTAACAGGGAGGGTGAATAGTACATTTCTGTACACACAAACACAAGCTTTTTGTCAGGAATGCCCATGCGGTCACTGATCCATCAATGTAGAAAAGTGATGTAAAATTATAATTTTCGTAATTAGAAAAAAAAATGACATACTAACATTCAGGAAAACTCCCGATCACAGATATATGTGTATATGTGTATATCTCTGGCTTTGAATGGCCACAGTCCTCCACTGTACCTTGGTCCCGCATTCATTTCAAAGGAGCGCTACCCTGTACCAAGATGGCGGCGCTATTGACGCATTCCGTCCAATAGACAACAATAGGCCAGGCGACATCTAATGTATATATCTATGGCAACAAACCACAGTACTCTAGCAACCCCTTAGAATCTAACATACCTTAGCACCTTATTACAGTGAACTCAGTGTCATGTTCAAGAAACCAGTCTGAGATGATTCGCAGTTTAGGACATGGCACGTTCTCCTGCTGGAATTAGCCTTCAGAAGATGGGTACACTGTGGTCATAAAGGGATGGACATGGTCAACAACAATACTCAGGTAGGCTGTTGCTTTGACACGATGCTCAGTTGGTACTAATGGGCCCAAAGTGTGCCAAGAAAATATCACGCACACCATTAAACTACCAGCCTGAACCAATAATACAAGGCAGGATGGATCCATGCTTTCATGATGTTGATGCCAAACTCTTTCTCTACCATCCGAATGTCACAGCAGAAGTCAAGACTCAACAAACCAGGCAACGTTTTTCTGATCTTCTATTGTGCAATTTTGGTGAGCCTGTGCGAATTGTAGACCACACGTACAAAATCAACTTTCTTCCCCATTCTGATGCTCGGTTCAAACTGCAGTCGATCGTCTTGACCAAGATGATCTTAAATGCATTGAGTTGCTGCCATGTCATTGGCTGATAAGAAATACGTGTTAACGAGCAGTTGGACAGGTGTACCTAATAAAGTGGCCTGTGAGTGTATGCTTTAAGTTCTATGAAAGTGAAGAGCGGGGTGAGGGGGGCTTTGATAATGTTTCTGGGGCCCCCCTAATTGTGTGTGTAACCCCGCCGGCTCTACGCCACCCAACCCGCTCCGAGCTGGTTTCGCACCGGCAACCTTCCGCATGGGAGTCGGGTGCTTTAACAAGGAGGCTAAAGACCATGGCCTCTAGCGTCTGTCGCCAGAGCACCTTTTAGAGGTCAGAGGAGTGAGGTTTACCTGCACAGCACACACTAGCTGGCCTCCGTTACATGTGGAACCTTATAATCGTCCTAACTTTCCCCCCTAGCGCCGCCCCTGTCCAAAGGTATACGTTTTTTTTCTAATTAGATCACTTTTAGAGGTCATTTTGTCTCTGAACCAGCTAAGCACATAAACACTCAGCTTATACCTCCTCATCGGTCAGGAGTGGTTAAAGTAGTTGGCATAAATCTTTCTCAAAGCTCTCGAAAGAGTATCTTGAATATCGCTGAGAATGCATTTCAGCTTTATAAACACATCAGAACTACTGAAGAATGATTTGCTGTAATCCATCTGTGACATTCAGGCTCTTGATTTCAGTATTTTGACTGTGTGAGTGTGGTGAGTCTGGGCTCTGAGGGTCATCATGTTCTCGCACGGGTTGCTTCCTCTATGAGCATCTGGGCTTAATACAGCACATCCTGAGTTCATTATAGGGGCTCACAGATATACGGCGCAGCCACACGCCGGATCAGCCCTCCAGTCAGTGTGTCAAAGACCCTAGCCTCTGTCACGGTCTGAATTCTTTCAGGTCTAGTCCATTTGAGACAATACAAAGCAAGTGAATGTATTTGCATGTACAAATGTAAATCACATGTTTACAGAATCAACTTGATTAATTGATTATCGCTATTGCATGAATATACAGTAATTGAAGCATGCAACTCTTGTCGAACAGCAGTTCAAGGTATAGCTCACGTAATAATGGTTCACCTATTCACTATTTATTCATTCATTCATTTTCCTCCTGCTTAATCCCTTTATTAATCTGGGGTTGCCACAGCGGAATGAACTGCCAACTTATCCAGCATATGTTTTACACATCAGATGCCCTTCCAGCTGCAAACCATCCCAGCAAAACTCCCATACATTTATACATGCACACACATACACTCGGCCAATTTAGTTCATTCAATTCACCTGTACTGCATGTCTTTGGACTGTGGGGAAAACCCAACATGAAAACCACAGAAAAATGCCAACTAACCCAGCCGTGACTCAAACCAGCAACCTTCTTGCTTTGACGTGACAGTTCTAACCCATGAGCCACCATGTCAACCCTTTCACCATTTACTCTGCCTCAAGATATACAACTTTGGGTTTCTTTTTTCTGCTGAACACATATTAAGATATTTTGAAGAATGCTGGAAACCAGTAACCATTGACTTCCATAGCAGGAAACACTATGGAAGTCAATGGTTACCGGTTTCCAAAATTCTTCTTTTATGTTCAACAAAATTAAAGAAAATCAAACGGGTTTTGAACAAGGGTGAGTAAATAATGACAATTTTCATTTTGGCCTGAACTATCCCTTTATTAAATAAATAAATGAAAAATAAATAAATAAATAAATAGACAAATAACCAAACAAACAAACAAACAAACAAATAAATAAATAAATAGACAAATAACCAAATAAACGAACAAATAAATAAATAAATAAATAAATAAATAAATAAATAAATAAATAAATAAATAAATAATTTCCAAGAGATGGGTTGCAGCTGGAAAAGCATCCGCTGCGTAAAACATTTGCTGGATAAGTTGGTGGTTCAGTGTGCTGTGGTGACCCCGGATGAATAAAGGGACTAAGCCAAAAAAAATGAAATAAATAAAAAATGTTAAAATAAATAAATAAATTTGCTGGCTTCTTTGTTCTTACTGAATAACTTTTTAGATGACAAATACTGTACATATGACAGGTCACAGGTCATGCAGCAGAGATCGACCAAACATGTCTAAAACTGCTAAAATATAATCATAGATAGACTTTTGATGTAGAGGCTCATTAAATAGATCGTGTTGATTTTTAGCAACAAAAAAAGTTACAAAACCTTTAATATCTCAAATATTTAATAAAAAATGAATCCCGCTTTTAGCGACACGCGACACCTATAGGGCCGTTAAATCACTACAGGAACAATAAAATTAATCTTCGGTTTCACATCTTTCGCTATAGTATGACTTATCTTATTAAGTAAATAGACACCAAAATAATATATATATATATTTTTAGTAATAATTATTGTTAATTGTATTAGCTTAAAAAGTAATTAAATTCATTGCGTTGAATAGAACAAAGCTGACTGAGGATAGCCTACTGATCACAGATAAACATTTCATAATATTTTAATTTCGTTCAGTTATCACACGACAGTAAATTCTCCTTTTCAGCCGTAATTAAAGTACTTCTTCAAGTAGCAATTCATGAACAAACAAAAATGTTCATATATAGGATGTCCTATATGGAAATATAAAATATAAAAATGTAAAAATGTTTCCTAAATGTTAAGACGTCTAGACTACATTAACCCCTTAACTGTCGACCCCAGTTTTGAGTTTACACTAGACATTGACAATAATGATTAGTTTGTCAGAGTTTAGTTTTAGACAAAAAATGTATTGTAAAAAGTTAGCTAAGGAGTTAATCAAATTCATTATTATTCTTATAGTACATTATATTATTTTCTTTGATTATGCTCCGATAACCCAACACACTCTAACAAGAAAATAGCTGCTTATTCAAACTGCTTATTTAAAAATAATAATAGGCCTAATAATAATTCGGACAAACTAATTGTTTTGTTGTTAATCCACTTGAATTGTCAAAATAATTACCTTAACTTAATCGATTTGTGTTGCGACAACATGAATGAATTGTGTGGAAGCCAGCATTTTTACAGTAGACTAGCCTACATGTTGAAGTGAACTTTCTTATAAAGCTTTGTTCAAATGCGATCTGGAGAACACGACACTTGATTAGAAATAAATCTAGTATAGCTACTAAAAGTAAAGTTCCTCACATGTCAGGCTGGAGGTCCAGTGATGCTGCCCCGATCATCATTATCATCCCACAGCAGAGCAGGAGAGCCCCGGAGCAGCTCATCGTTTACAGCATCCACATGCAGCAACACTCGTCCGAGCAGGTTCCAGGGGCCCGCTGTCCAGTTTAAAGGGTCCGATCACTTCATTATACGAGTGTGCTTAATATATTTGGAAAAGCACTAAAAGATTTCTTTTTGCAAACTGATAAAATCGAGCATCATAGAGTCCTGGAGCTGCTGTCCTCAACTGGGCACAGACTGAGACGGACTGGACAATCGCTCAGCGCTCTTCCTTTCGACGCACACACACGCGCGCGCACACACATACAATCTGCCGCTGTATGGGGCCATCGGGGGAATACAGATAAACCATGCAACATCGCGGTTATACTTTACTATACTTCCAGAATACAAACTAACTGATCCAATTAAAACCGATTTCATTATAGCCTACTATAATAATGTTCATTCTATGTATTCAAATGTTTTTTTTATTACTGTAGCTATCATTTAAATAATTGTTTTGTAGTATTGATTTTAAGACTACCAATTTTTTCAAGAAGTGTTTAATCAATAGGCTCTTTTTGAAATAACGTTAACTCTAGAATCAAAACATCTGCCATTTTGACCAAATGTAATTTTCTGCAAATTACTACATTTTATTTACTATAAATTTACTATAAATTCAGCCTAGAAATTTTATTTACTATAAATTCAGCCTAGAAATATTTCATAAATATTATGAGTTATTTAGAGTAAAACAATATTAACATTTAACTACACTCCAAACATCTATGCACTTCGTACCTTGTAACTTCCGTAAATCTAGAGAACCTGAATTATAGAGACAGTAAAATTTAGAAATATTGCAGTTTTATTGAGTTAATTAACCTATATGGTGCCACGATTAAAAGATAAATGACAGTCATCTCCTTTTAATTTAATCGCCGTGGGACTTTTAATTTGAAAAGCACTTTTTACGCTCTTGCGTCAATACAGTTGAATGCGTCTGCCAGCTTCACGCTTTTGTGGTTGGTCTGGGTTGAGCTGGTCTGTGCAGTGGTCCGGGATGATTCTCTTATCCTAAAATATTCCGGTTTTACTTTATCATTCCTCTTTAACGTGTACAATCCGTCGGTGGATTTGAACTCGGTGAAGGTACGTGTCTAAATACGCTGCTGGTGTGATTTTTAATCAATCTCTAACGCGTTATCAGCTGTCATTGCAGTACTGCAGGGCCCTGATGAACTCATCTTTTATTGATTTCACGAACATTTCCTCAGAGAAAAATATATATTACATAAAGTACTTTATTTACTGTAGTCTGTATTGATTTTGATCTAATCCACCCAAATATTCAAAACAAAATAATGCAAGTGCTTTACTGTAGTATATTGCTACATCGTTTCCTGCCCAAATGAAACCAAAACAACACATATTGATGTAACGTAGTTTGTATTTGGATATCTTCCTGAACTATAACCCACAAAAGCATGCCTTGATTTATTAGATATGTTTACTGGGAGATTAAACTTGGGGCTGTGCAACGTTATTCAGAGACATTCTGCTTCCTGAAATAGCTGCTGATCTCATGATCAAACCAGAAAATACTGATGATATCTGCGTTACTTTTAACTGCTTCAGTGTAGCCTAAGAATCTGTCGACGATTCGCGTCGGCGTCATTCGTATATGTTGAATAAATGTATTGAGGTAAAACTTGTTTTATATTCGCACATTTGTTCAGTGACAACTTGTGATGTGCTTCTTGTATTGTTTACCATGCTACTTTGAATATTGGGTCTAAAATCACATGTAAGTACGACTTCAAAACAGCATTAGCAATATTTAATTGACTTTGTGAACAATGTTGTACTTTGATAGTCACTGGCTGCACGATTTCACTATTTAGAATTTGCAAAGAATACCTTTCCGAAATTGAGCAATTCCAGCTTTATGGATGTGACATTTGCAGTAAAAACTCAAAACAGTTGTTATTTTCCAGAACAACTGACCACAGAGTTATGTGAGCAGAAAAATATCAATCTGTTAACATGTTTTGTATTTAAAATGATTAAAATAAACATGCATTATGGATGTGACAAAAAAAGTCAGCTGGTCTACAGTACACAACATACTTTGTAGAAATTCTGTGAATTAAACTGCAAAACCCAAATGAAACAATCATAATCAAAAGGATAAGAGTCGGCTCACTATAAAACAAAAATTATTGGTTTTATTTTATTTAATATTTTCACATTTATTAGGAAAAAGTGTTGTTATTGATGTGACATCTCTCCGTTATGGATGTGACGGATGTGAAATTGCCACATGTGTGATTTTGGAAAATCAATTAGAATAGTTTGAAACATTGACAGATGCATTTTTGAGTATTTCTAAAGTACTGTAAAATACACGCTTGCCCAAAAAAAACCACGAAAAAGTTTCTGTATTTTCGTGAAAACGTCATTTTTTTCATGGCAAGCTTGACAGTTGCACAGAATTGCTCATTTATATTAATAGGGAGAATGTCCTAATATGTGAATATAAAACCAACTTCCTAATAATACATGTCTAATAATAATACCCTAATAATAAAAGTCCTGATATTATTTGGTTGCATTAGAAAAAAAAACTTTAAAAAAAACTTAGATTAGAGGTTAGTGCCATAAGCCATGTTGGACATTGGGGTAAAGTTTGTTTTATATTCGCGCATTCAGACTTTTTTTTTTTTTATTGCTGAATAGCAGTGCATAAAACTTAAGTTACAATATCAAACAATAAGTGACGGTGATAAAAGTACAGTACGCTCTCAGGAAAAAAGGTACATGGTGGTTCAAATAATGTTCCTTAAGGAACAGTTTTGTACCTTTGTAAAAGTTGTACCTTATATGGTACAGAAAAGACCTCTTATGATACTGTTCTGTACCTTTTATGGTATAATTGAAATGAAGGTACACAATTGTTCTCATAAAAAAGGTACATAAGTGTTGGACAACTCTTTACTACAATATCTATGAAAATAAATATTACTGTAAAGGCAAAGTGATTTATGAATAATTTCCATATTAAAACATGAATCATAATTTAAAGCTTATGTTTAAAGAAACTCATAAACATTAATTATTAAGTTTTATAATACAAAACAACTGGTAAAAAAATATATAGGTATTGTAAACTAAACATTTAAGGCATTTTAAATAAACATTTGGTAAGCATTTTCTGATAAATACTTTTTTATTATTGATATCCACACCTTTTGGTGTTTGCTTTCCGCTACGCAGGTGAGCTGGCAAAAGTTCTGCATATGCAAATTGTTGTAATAGAAAAATAACTGCAGAAAAATTAAAGAGAGAAAGGAAAAGAAGAAAAGCATTAAAGTTTTTAGCAATTACAAGGGTTAATTTAAGATTACTTATACAAACATCTTATTTTAAGAATCATATTTTAATAGTTTTTTAAAGTTTTCGTATTAGACGATTCTGATATCAACTTTATATAATTCTCCACATCTTTCAAGAAGACCACAAAGGCAGGTTTACTATTTGAGAATTTAAAATTTACTTAAGAAAATAATTAAATTTATTTAAAAAAATTATTTTCTTTTGTGGGGCCCCAGTTAAAATACCAAAATATAATAATTTTCAGTTGTATAGAAAATTTTGGTAGAATCTTCTACTTTAAAAAAAAAATCAATATTATACAAACTCCTGAATGTAATAAGATGACCAAAATAAATGTATCACAGTTTCATCAGCATTTACACAATGAAACTCAATTCAACTCAAGTCAGTGTCAACTCGAAACTTTTGTATAAATTTCTTGACAGGCTAAAACCTGTTTATCAGTTTAAAAGAAACACATTCTGACTTTCTCCCTATTGTTTGCAAATTCTAAATGGTAAAATCATAGTAGTAGCTATAGACTATCATGTCAAGTAATGCTTGCATGATATTTCAGACCGAATATTTAAAGTGGTGTGGTAAACAATATAGAGACATGTCACAAGTTCAAAAATGAACAAATGTGTGAATATAAAACCAAATAAAATGTATGGTACATCAATATGTGTTGTTTTGGTTTCATTCGGGCTGAAAATGACGCGGCACTGACAGCAGAAGTACTACAGTAAAGCACTTTCAATGTTTTGTTTTGAATATTTTGGTGGATCAGCTCAAAATAAATACAAAATACTTAAGAAGTACTTTATGTAACATATTTTGGGCTCTGAAGAAACTGTTTGTATTTTTTAATTTTTTAAACAAACTTTATTTATAACTCTATTTACCTCAGAAAGTTGGACAACCTGCGATTTCAGTTTTGATAACTGAAAGATTTCAAAGCATGACTTCCGGTATTGTTTAAATGTTTTTTTTTTTTTTTTTACAATTTCATTTACATGGTGACTGTTGAGGCTTATAATGTCTAAAAATTTCAAAAACAAAACTTTTGGCCTTAAAAAGTCATACAATCACTGAAATGTTGACCTATAGGTCTTAACTTATTTTTAACGGATCTTAAATCATTTTTAATGGGTCTTAATATTGTCCATGTAAAGCCAATCAGGCCAACACCCATACAGTCACCAACAACCCTTCTCAATTCTCTTTTTTTAACTCTATTTACCAATATGGTTTCATTATTTTCCATACTATAACATTTATACGTTCTCTGTATATTTATAGAATATATGGAACACTGACCTGAATGGATTGTTGTACATTAATTTTATTAGTTTGCTTATTTTGACACACTTGTTTTGTCACTTGGATATTTTTTTTTATGGGGCAAGTATTTATTCTTAGGGTTTAGCCCTGTGTAACTCTGAAATTTCACTCATAATGGTCTTAAAAGGGTCTTAGAAAGTCTTAAATTTGACTTGCTGAACCCTGCAGAAACTCACCAATATGATTGTGATGAACTGAAAGAAACTGATTATTTCATTGATTTGGGAAATTTGTTACAAAAAGAGCATTTTTCCAACCAAATTAGGCTATATGAAGTGGTCAAAATTTGTTTCAATGTTTCTTGTATCTATTGTTTTTTTAATTTTATCAGGTAAGAATCAAGATTGTCAAGGTTGTTGTAGCTAATAAATCAAATTGACAGGAGCAGAAATGAACTGATTCAGATTCAAACTGAAGCATCAGAAAACGTGCAATAGGCCATAAAAGGCATACATTTTATAGTT